TGAATGAGATTAAACCATTCAAATAAAAATAATTAGTGCCACCGTAATCTTAACAAAATCTGTGGTGAAACACTGTCTCTGTATAGGCTATAGCTCGAATCTACAAAACGTTTAAAATGTAAGGATATAAGGGATCGTGCTGCATTATAAAAGTATTTGGTTCAAGGCTTCTCTGCACAGTATGGAGGAGCGACAGTGCACTGTATAAGAAGCTTGTGAGTGATCACCGGTGCCTGAAAATACAATGATCATGTGAATACATTAGTGAGCGCAGGGATTGGGTCGCTTTCAAAAGATGCTGTCAAAACAGACAAGGTTTTTACTGCGGGTTGCCATGGTGACGGGCCCGAGTGCTGTCAGTGCAAAAGTACTGTGACTTTGTAACACAGATGGACACTGCTGTAAAGAGTAAAATAGAAAATGACTTGAGATGAGACTGCTAAATACAACTTTTCACACCTCAGAGAATTTCCAAGTAGCACCAAAAGGGAGTTACTACAGATTACTACTACAATTTAAACCAGGCCAGATCTAGAAACAATCACTAGGATCTAGCTCAACCAGGTCTAAAGTCAGGATTAATTTGTATGTACATGATACGATATCGTCACGGTATGAACTTCACGGTACGATAATTATTGCGATATTGTGGGAAAGCTCACGATATGGTGGGGAGGTTCAGGATTAGGGATGTAACAATATCCAAATCTCTAGGTACGATATTTTCACTATATACATCTCACGGTACGATATTTATTGCGATATTATTTGGAGGCTAAACAGCTAAAACTGTTAATATGCTACTTTTTCCTCTTAAATGCCTTGACAAGACTTAATCCAGACTTAGAAGTGCTTAGAACTGTTATTTCTTCATGTAGTCTACACTGAAATGGAGCAAAGGATCATGGTCTGTGTAGTTCCTTCTGTCTTTTTGCTGCACCATAACTCTTAATTTAAGTAAAGAGACTTGTAAATAAATATATTGTGATGGTCCACGATATTATTGTAAGAACTTTGATGATACGATATCACGATATTTCGTTTATTGTTACATCCCTAATGTGAATTGATTTAGAAGTGGTTTTAGATGTCATCCATGCATGTTTGAGTAATCTTGTGATCTCTCCTGGGCCCTATTTGAACCTCACTTACGGTTAGCTGCACAAGCCAGTATGTCACCCATGCTGTTTTTGGGCTTTACAAAAATAAATGGAATAGTTCTGATAGTTGCTTAAGACTATTTTTATACTACAGCTACCAATTTTTGCACCAAATTTTTGTTCAGCTTCGTTTTTAGACTGGGGGACCACCATAGTCTCTTCTATTAATGGAAAACATATGTGTACTATAAATGTATACTATCTATACCGGCAAACTGTACACCACTAATGATAAATACCACAGTTTCAGACGCCCTTGTGCTAAATGTTTCTGCTGAAGTTGTTGAGAAAATGGTGTGCAAATGACCGAAGAATGTGGGAGAAAAGAGTTGAATTAGTTTGGCTGGTCGAGCGTACAAGGTGTGCATGCAAAACCACACTGGAGACTAAATGGGGTTTTAAAGAGAGAGAGAGGAGAAAGAGAGGGAGAGACAGACAGACAGAGGGAAAGAGGCTGAGTGAGAGAAAGAGAGGGGGGAGAGAGAGAAGTAGGAGAGGGGGACAGAGAGAGTGAGAGACAGGGAGATGGAGAAAGAAAGTTAGAAAGAGAGAGCAAGAGAGACAGACAGAGAAAGGGGGTGAGTGAGAGAGAGAGACGGAAAGAGAGAGAGGGGGAGAAGAGGAGAGGGGGACAGAGAGAGTGAGAGACAGGAAGAGGAAGAGAGAGAGTTAGAAAGAGAGAGGGAGAGAGACAGACAGAGAAAGGAGTGAGTAAGGGAGAGAGAGAGATGGAAAGAGAGAAAGGGGGAGAAGAAGGAGAGGGGGACAGACAGAGTGAGAGACAGGGGCTAGGGAGAAAGAGAGTTAGAAAGAGAGAGGGAGAGAGAGAGACAGAAAGAGAGACGGAAAGAGAGAGAGAGGGGGTGAAGAAGGAGAAGGGGACAGAGAGAGTGAGAGACAGGGAGAGGGAGACAAAGAGTTAGAAAGAGAGAGGGAAAGAGACACACAGAAAGGAGGTGAGTGGGAGAGAGAGAGACAGAAAGAGAGAGAGAGGGGGAGAAGAAGGAGAGAGGGGGACAGAGAGAGTGAGAGACAAGGAGATGGAGCGAGAGAGAGAAAGAGCGAGGGAGAGAGGCAGACAGAGTGAAAGAGGGTGAGCAAGAAAGAGATGGAAAGAGAAAGAGAGAGGGAGGAGAGAGAGGGGAGAGAGTTAAAAAGAAAGCGAGCGAGACAAAGCGGGGGAGTGAGAAAGAGAGAGGGGGAACAAGAGGGAGACAGAAAGGGAGAGGGAGAAAGAGAGAGAGAGAGAGAGAGAGAGAGAAATACGGTGAGAGATAGAGAAAGAGGGAGAAAGAGAGTAGCAGCTGCAGAATTAGCATGCTGGAGGTGCTTATGTAAACTGCCATAGTGTCAGACCAGAGAGTGTGGGAAGTTAGCTCCGTGACTATCCATATTAGAAGACTGTCACTGGCTGTAATGCTGACAGGCTACAAGCTACACTGGAAATCCTTGACGGTGTTTTGAGCATATAAATGAATGTACTTTCAGCTGTTACACAAACACTTAACATACTACTCTTCAGTAGGTGCACATTTCTTTGGCAACCCTACTGCCTAAACTACAAAACAGGACTGTGCAATATGACAAAAAAGTTTCTCTCATATTGATTTGATTGTTTTGTCTTACTTAAAGGGCACATATTTTCTGATCTGTGTTATAATGTTACTTCCAAATCAAAAACAGACCTGGAATAGTGTTTTGTTTCATTCAAACATTTTACACACAAACCCTGCATAATTAGGCTGAGTTCTTGTCTCATATAGAAAACACTCCACACATCCACCTTGTGATGTCATGTAGTAATACAGGAAGTGCTCCACTCATGCACTTTCACTAGAATAATTTGGATAATTTCAGCCCTGGAATTGCCCATCTCTACAGAACAAAAAAAGTAAAAACATTCTAAAAGTAGCTGTTAAGTTACTACTGCTTCATGACATCACAAGGTGGAACAGAGCATTTTGAGCTTTGGAAATGTAGACAGACTAATAAATGGTTACTTAAACTTAAACTTACTTACTTAGACATAGAATTATACAAATGTTATTGATCCACAAGGGAAATTATTTGGACACAGTAGCTCCGACATCACAATAAATATAATAGCAAAGAGCAAAAATATAAATGGTAATAATAAATTCTAAATAAGCAGCAAAAAAGATAGCAAGAGACAGGTGTCAGCTAAGACATAATTATATAAATGTAAATGTGCAAGTAAAAATAAAAAAAGAAAGATAAGTAATAAAATATAAAATCACAGCTTTATACGAGAGGTCAATGGTAGACAGTGCAACATTGATATGACGATTGACAAGACATAGGGTTATCCATTATTAAACACATGTGAAATAAACAAAACACTACTCTGGGTATGTTTTTGAAGAGGTAACGACATTCTAATATGGCTAAAAGCTCACAATTTTGTATCATATAGAATCTTTAAAACAATTCACATGTATTTTAATATTATTTTCATGAACATAAACAAAAGACGTTTAACAATACAACACAAAAATAGTCAAATTTCTTTTTTCAAAAGCTCACTGCGTAGCTTTCAATTAATAATGACTTCCTATCTATGTTGCCCACATACTTTTAACATAGTTTCAGAATTTGCATGCCGCTGGTGCTTATCCAAACAGCCAAAGCCAGATTGACTGTAGGCACTTCTCTCTGTCCATATCAGAGCATCTTTAGTGGCCCCAATTGATTTTCTCTGTATTTGATCTACACACATCTGTGCAGTGATACGGCCCCTGGGATGTGAGGAGGAGCCTTCACTCAAAGAGATCAATACGTTTCAGATGCATTATGGCTGCAGTATTAATGTATGTGTCTTATTGTAGTGGCCATTTTGTTAACTACAGATCTTTACATTCCAACCACAAAGGAAATATGTTTTGCTGTTTTATTCTAGTGTTCGTTTGGTTTGACACAATAATTCAATTTAGAGCTTATATACAACGCAACAGTCTAGAATGGTCTTGTACACTCCATTCACGTCAGTCAAGCTGTATTTCAATGCAAATTCAAAGTCCTGTATTGCACAAAACTTACCCTTGTGAGCTTTAAGTCCTTTTAGAATATTGTTACTTCCTCAAAAACATACCTGGAGTTGTGTTTTGTTTCATTCTCGCATGTTTGAGTAATTCTTAATTATTAGTTTGTCTGCATCTCCAAAGCTCAAAATACTCTGTTCCACCTTTTGATGTCATGAAATGGTAGTTTAAGTCAACAGCTACCTTTTACCTTTTGTTCTGAGATTGGCAGTTACAGAGCTGAAATTATCCACATGGTTTTTGTAAAGGTGTGTGGAGTTCAAAAACACAGTGGAGTGTTATTTGTTTGAGAGAAGAACTCATGACTTAAATATGCAGGATTTTTGAGTTAAACATGTGTTTAACTCAATACACAACTCTGGGAAACAACTTTACATGGGCACTTTAAAGGTGTACCGTGTAACTTTTCTGATTCCACCTGCTCAAAAATACATACATTCTCACTGTTAGCATGGTCACATCTCCACAGATCTGACCTGTGACTTGGCCTGGCATCATCACCTGCTTGTCTCCATAGAGATAGATAAGTTTAATACCATTCTGTGGAACATTCCAGTCAAAGCAATGACATCTCCATGCAGAAAAACAAGTGGTAGACCCTACTCCAGAAAAGTTACACAGTGCACCTTTAAGTTCAAAATGTAAAACAAATTAAAGTTTATAGTTCTTTATTATCTACCTTGTTATATTCTCCTGTGTATGCACCAAGTCTTGTGTTAAATTACTTTTTAATGAAGCAAGCATCTGGGATTTGCTAATTTTGTGTGTGTTTATTTTCCAGGTGTTTGCTACCTACCCCAACGAGGACTACGACCGGCGTAATGAGGACGTGGACCCCATGGCGGCGTCCGCGGAGTACGAGCTGGAGAAGAGGGTGGAGAGGCTGGACCTGTTCCCCGTGGAGCTCGAGAAAGGTACCAGGATTTGCAGACTAGAAATAGACTGATATATCTGGATTCAAAGCAGTCAGTATCATGAAAAATTGGCCGATCACACTTGTACACTTTGTACCAGCTTCATTACATCACTAACACACTCCTTCTTTTACCGTCTTCATGTTGTCTATATACAATTTCTGAATAACTGACTGATAATAATATTATACTACATACAGTGTTGGGAAGTAACTGAGTACGTGTACTGAAAATGCATATTCTGAATACTAATTTTGAGTACCTGTATTTTGGTACAGTTACTTTCCTAAACTAAAAGGAATACATGGCTGTACTTCATCATGCAATTTGGGCTTTGACTTGCACAGCTCTTGCAGTGTGTGATTTTTTTATTTCTAATTAGACATAAATTGAGGCATAGCAACAAAAATACAGTTGTTTGTAATTATATGTCATGTTTTTTACACTACAATATAATATAATGCAACTCAGTGTGAAAGTATTCTATATACAGTACTCAGAATATAGTACTCTGATTGGCCCATGTATCAGAATATGTTACAAAATACATTTTAATGCAGATATTCAGTATTCTGTGAATAAATACATTTTCAAAGTATTCTTCCCACTACATATGATGATACTGTGCGATTTAGGGCTGCACAGTTATTCAAGTTTAGGTTACAAAAATGATTATTGCGATTACAATAAGTGTGTGATCAATATTATTAACATTAACTCTTTAGTGTATGTTCAGTGCACTTCTACACACATACATACATCCGCCAAACTTCCTGCTTATTTCCTTTGGACAGCAGAAAGTATAGTAAACCCCAGTGCTCATCTGTACCTGTCAGAAATCTGCCTGCAAAGCCTTTTCTCCAAAGTCCACAGGCTTGTTGTCTCACAAATAATTACCACTGTTTATTTTGCTTACAGCGGTGCGAGGTGGGTGGTCAGCAGGGCTTCAGAACATTACACTTTGAGGAATAGATGCTCAGGGAGTTATTGTGATAATAAAATATATATTTAAAAAGTTTAGTACACCTCCACCCCTTAAAAAATGCCTAAATTATATAATTACATTACACAAAATTTAAGGTTTAAGCCATTTTATACTGTTGTTACCTCATCAAAAGCATACCTGGAGTTGTGTTTTGTTTCATTCACACATGTTTGAGTAATTCTTTATTATTAGTCTGTCTGCATTGCCAAAGCTCAACATGCTCTGTTCCACTTTGTGATGTTTACTTTTTGTTCAGTAGAAATAGACTATTCCATCAAATGATTGTAGTGAAGGTGTATGGAGTTTAAAAACACAGTGGAGCTCTTCCTGTATTACCACATGACATCACAAGGTGGAGCAGAGTGTTTTCTGTTTGAAAAGCCTAAATATGCAAGTTTTCTGTGTTAAACATGTGTGAATGAAACAAAACAAAACTCCAAATATTTTTTTGATGAGGAAACAACATTGTAACATTGATTAGATTGAAATTATAGTCTTAAACTGTTTCGTGATGTGAACACTATAGTTTACTTTACAGAAGATAATGAGCCTCCAAACTTAATAAAAAACAGACCTAATTCTGTTGAAAACTCATGTCCCACAAGATGCAGGTGCTTTCTGTCCATCTTAGAAATGCCTATCTCTAGTAACATGCCTTTAACAGGAGGTTCATTCATATATTTATTATGATACTATTTTTATCCCTGTGTTGTGTATAACCCATGTTCCTGTGAAACTCCTCTGGGACTGAGTGAATGCTGTCTGCAGGGGCGAGGATCGTAGATAGATTTTTGTTATTCTTCTTGCTACATTCTATAACGTTATCATAGATTACAAGGGAAGCAGTTTCTTCTGCCTTGATTGCTCTCAGACAATACAAAGAATCATGATCTATGTACAGTGCTTTTTAAGGACTGAACTGTATGAATTTTGTTTGTTTTGTTTGTTTACTGACAGAGGATTGGCTGTGGACCTTTCGATTTCTGCTTTAGGCTGAGTAGCTGCAGTTTGCTTATTGAAAATATAAGACTGTTGGAGAAGACTATTGATTGACCTAAAAAAGAGACAGAACCATCTTGTGTAATCTATTCTTGTTTTGTTGTCAGTTTTATGGTCCATTCATATTTTACACAATACTTAAACCTCGACCAAGACAGTTATTTGCACATTTTAACAGATTACTGATGCATTTTTAAAATATTGTCTGAATATTGTGATAGAAAAAGCAAACAATATATATACATTTTTGTCAATATTGCCCACCCCTACTTGAACATCTACACATGACATGGTTTTCTCTTTGAATACAGCTCATGACAAAACAGCAACACATACAAGATGCAAGAAAAACTTAATACTTGTTAGGTCTGTCAAAATTATTACTACATTGACTTACTGTTCAATATATGAAAGCTGGAACAATATATTTTGAGGCTCAGCATTTATCATGTGTACATTTTCTTTGTGAAAGTGTGGAGATTTGAGGTATTTGTGGCAATACAAAACTATTTGAGCTTTAGGGAGTAGAATAACTAACTTCTGTGGCAAATTATAGGTTCATTCTGCTATCTATTTGTTGCAGCTAAGGCTTTTTAATGCTGTCTGTTTAAAGTGGTTTACTGAGATCATCTTTCTTTATTGCCATTGTGTCAAAGGCATAATGTAGTTTCAATATGATCATTTATCGCAGTATCTCTTCGCTTCAAATTTTGTTATCGTGACAAGCCTACTACATGTCCTGTTTATGGATAGACTGTGGTAAAAGTACTTACAAATGTCCACATAAAGTATAAATTAGTGTTTCTAGTTTGAGCAGAAGCCAGAGTCGATTTTAATGGTCTAATGTGCACATCACTGCTCCTCCACTTGCCTCCACTTGATGTTTCAATTGATTTTGTGATTACACGCCATGATTATAAATTTTAAACCACAGAAACAAACAGAGCCCATTTTATAGTGTGTATGGTTGAGATATATTGCTGCAGGAACTATTGCTATGAAATAAATTAAGATAGTGATGATTTCCAAAGGGACTGGACCGTATCTAAAATAACACATAAGCAAGAAGAAAACCCGAGCACCAATAAAGCTCTGGTAATAGTATACAATCTATAGTAAGAACAGCGAGTTAGAAGCTTTAATGAGTTTTTCTATCTATGCTAATTATTCAGTAGCAAGTTGTACTACATGGAGGAGATGGGTAACATAAAATTACAACATACAACTCCTGCCAAGTAAGTATCTATACATTTTCATACACTGAATGATGCATTTTTTTAATGCACGGGTGGCCCTAAACCAAAAATTCGAACTGATCACATTTTCACCTACAATACAGCACATCTATAGCGAAATTTAAAATATATGCAGTAATATATACAGTATATTCTAATACTTGTGTACTTACACTTCCTTGTTCTTTGTTTTCAGACAGCGACGGCCTCGGCATCAGTATTATCGGGATGGGAGCAGGAGCAGACATGGGTTTGGAGAAACTGGGCATCTTCGTGAAGACCGTCACAGAGGGAGGAGCTGCACACAGGAGACGGAAGGTTAGTCCTCAGAGTCATGAATTAAATTATATCTAAATGAAATGACCACCAGGCATTTATCTAATTTGAAAGTCCAGAAATTGTATTATTGGTACATTGTCGGTAGAAAGTACTTGGGTTAATATGAAGGAAAATTCATCTTGTTTACTATATTCTCAGTGTCGTGAGTAAAATTCTAGTAGTATAGTAAATTAAGTAGTAAAAGTATTGTGACTAAAAGGTGTGGTAGTATTTTGAGGATGTTGGAGCAGTTGTACTAGCACTATTAGTTGTAGTACTTATAGCCGTATGTGTAAAAATCAAAGTTACCAAATGGAATTCTCTTGTAAATTTCAGATCTCCTATCCAAAATTGTAATGTTGTATTTGTACAAAACTCACATATACTTAACTAGTACTTGAACAGCAGTGATAAGATAAGCTAAAACAATATTGCTTTTTAAGGCGCTAATGAAACTAATTTTGCCCACTCTAATATGCAGTTTTATTAAGGCTGCCTTTGTTATGCATTTCTTTAATCTCAGCAAACTTTCAAAATGCCTTATGTTTCAATCCCTCTCCAATACTGTACACTCACATAAATAATTCTTCAACAGCTAACCCTCTCCTCTTTTCTCCTCCTCTCATCTCCTCTTTTCTTGTCCAGGATCCAGGTGAATGATCTGATTGTGGAGGTGGATGGGACCAGTCTGGTGGGAGTAACTCAGAACTTCGCAGCCTCTGTACTCAGGAACACCTCAGGAACCGTCAAGTGAGAGCCGCTAAAAATACACCTCCTTATTATTCTCACAGCATCATTGGATTTCGGTGCCTTTCCACACTTACGTACACAGTATCACACCTTGAACTTGCACAAGCTGCTCTGGCTGACTTCTTTTAGGTTTGCCATAGCTGTGACAAAAGCATATTCATTCACAATCTGTTTTCATTCTAGTACTTCTCTAACCATGGTATGAGTTTGACTGATGAAACTATAAAATTATTTTGGTAATATAAAGTCCATAAACAACAAAATATCCTGAAAACTATTGCCTTTAAGCTCTTAATAGTTTTATTTTTTGAAAAGTCTATGGGAAAAAATAATGTAAAATGTGATTTCTCTGAAACCAGCACTAGCTCAGAGCAGGGTTGATTCATCTTAAAATTGCAGCTCCTTTAACATTGCCATATACTTTGTGTGTGACCAAAACATGTGTTCATTCATCTCTTCGCCCACTCAGGCCTCATGGTTTTGATGTTGAGCCAAAATCAACACCACCACATCCTGCCAACTGTACATTAGATCACGGGAAACATTTGACATGATTATAAATTGTGTGCCCACAAAAACAAATGTTTTTTTTTTTCCTCACAACAGTGACCAAGCTCACAATAAGAATGCTCAAGATATTTTGTCACAATAGAACACTTGCAATAAAAATACAACATAGATCAATTTAATGTCATTCTTTAGAGTAAGCAGGTGGCCAACCCTCCTCCAGAAAAGTCAAATTTAATTAAAGCAGCTTGTTACACTCACATTATGCTTTCTTTGTTACTGGTGGCCACTTCCCCAAACAATCATGAATAAGCTACTATGTGTTTGGTGCTAACTTCCACATAGAAAACTACATTTTGTAAACTAGTACTGAACCTCTAGGTCTTGTGAATATATGACCAGTAAAAAAAAAGGTTTTATTGTAACATTTTGGCAATTTAAAGGTCTTTATTATGCAGAATTTACTCTTGTGAGCTTCAAGCCATGTTGGAATGATGTTGCCTCCTCAAAAACATACCTGGAGTTGTGTTTTATTTCATTCACACATGTTTGAGTAATCCTTTATGATCAAAAAAACTCAACTTGTGATGTCATGTAGTGGTAGTTTTCAGTTACCTTTCACTTTAAGTTCAGTAGAGATTGGCAATTCCAGGGCTTAAAATATCAAAATGATTCTAGTGAAGGTGTATGGAGTTTTAAAAACAGAGTGGAGCACTTCCTGTACCCCATGACAGGTGGAACAGAGTGTTTTTTGTTTAAGAGAAAAACTATGCAGGACTTGTATATTACAGATGTGTGAATGAAACAAAACACATCTCCAGATATGTTTGTGAGTAAATAAACCATAGATCAGAAAATAATAAATAAGAATAATATGGGCCCTTTATTTATTATTATTTTAAGGTTCCATCTCTCCTTTTTTCTTTCAAACTCATTCATAATTCAGGCTTTGGTGGTTAGCACGGGTGCAGTTCAGTTACTGTGGTGTGACTTGCAAAGATCACAGCTCTCCACACATTGAGCTCATGCATTATAAATCCACTGCAGTGAATTTGAATGGCTTAAGAGCGCTGACCTATTCATAAAAATGTGTGGCAGACAACACAGACAGACACTCGAACAGGAAGTCTGTTAGCGATCGTTTAATTACCCAGTGGAGCTGCTGGAGGAATTGAAAGGTTGCGCGGTTAGCTTAATAACAGTCTATGGCTAAAGCATGAGTTGCAGAAGCTTCTCCCCATTTACTGTTTATATCTTACCAGTAATTAGACCGTGCCACAACGTAAAAAGGCTAAAGATGTTGAATGAAAGTCTTACAAGGAGTTACAAGAGTTTGAGTTTGGAGCTGTTTTTAATCTTTGAAGTGAAGGCCCATAGAGACTGGCTTTTGTTTGGGTCTAAACAGGTTCATCAGTACAATTCAATTTTTATTAAGAACACATAATATTATATAATTGTAAATATAAATCGCATGTTATAATGTTGCACATGTATATAAACAAGACTGCCAAATCATTAGATATTGTTTTATTTACCTCTCCCTTCCACTGTGTAATTAAAAAATACATCTAAAATATAAATTTGATAGTGACGCATTTTAAAAAAATAACTTTCTAGTATAGCCTACTTACATACACATCCATAGCTGCCCATAAAAACCCACTCACACATATTTTAAGACCTCAACCATAACTGTGTATAAAACTAATGACTGGATCAACTTTAACTGCCATTTGAGACTATAAAATCTTTAAATACCTCGTAATATTGAAATCGCTGACTGTCTCTTTCCAGATTTGTGATTGGTCGAGAGAAGCCGGGGGAGCAGAGCGAAGTGGCCCAGCTGATCCAGCAGACCCTGGAGCAGGAGCGCTGGCAAAGGGAGATGATGGAGCAAAGATATAATCAGTACATGGACGAGCAAGAGGTTTGTGGCTTACTATATAATAATCAGCAAAAACATAATGATCACCACTAGGCCTGTCATGATAATTACTATATTGTGTTATTCTTCAGTATACGAAAACTGGAACAATATTTTCGGGGTTCATTGTTTTGCTTTGTTATTTTTTGTTGTACCATAACATTTAAGTTGAAGAGGATTAAATAAATATAGTATAGATACTAAATAAGTGCTTTACCATGTTTTACAAATTACGATATACCCTAAACGTGTAAAGGTTTACATTTTCATGCTATTATCAATTTCTGATGCTGTATTTTTGCACAGCTAGCATTTTTTAAAGCACACGTAAGCATCCATTTGATAAGAATATTTATCTGAACTCTTTCTGTCTGAAGATTTTGTGTTTCCGCCAAGAGAGTCTATTAAAAACATCTAAGTATGTGGAGTATTTGAAGTCTGGCTGACTGTAAAACATGGCCTACTATAACTGGAATATTTTCTTTTCTCAAGTCCCATTTGGTATTATAAGTAACACAAAATGATGTAGTTTTCTTTTTAATAATTCCTACTTCCAGCCAACTTACACATACATAAGCTTGAAAGGATGTATTTTAGCTTATAGAAATATTATGTTAACTATAACATACCTTATAATTGATATAATATATAAAATAAACATACAGTTTAAGAGAAGCAACAATATTAGTCTTTCTACTGTATTAGTAGTTAGAATATAGTATATCTGTAGTCAGGATGTAGATGGATCTAGAAAAACAGGCTTTGGATGTACGTATTTTATGATCTTTGCCGCCATCTAGTGTTCTTTGGCAGTCATAACAACACAAACCACATTGGAGTAGATCAACTTTGTACTAGTCTAGTGATATTTTTATGTATTATCGGTGTATATACTCATTGTATTGTAACTATTATACATATATATTTTTTGACGATTTTAATTGATCTTTATGTGATTATTTACCTTCAGGGTGGAGAATATGGCACAGACGAGGAAGAGGATGACGACGAAGAGGGCAGCCCGTCCTATCCCAGTGCAATTGAGGTGTTTGACTTAGCCGAAAATGAGGACATGTCCCCCCTGGAGACGGACCCTGAGAAACTGGCCCATAAGTACAAAGAGGTGAGCACAGATAAGTGGCTCAATGGGACATCACAATCTTCTGTAGTTACAGATAGAGGATTTTGAGAAGTGGGTAACTTTAAGAATACTAAAACTTTGTCTCTTTTTTATAGCTTCAGATAAAACATGCTGTGACACAGGCTGAGATCCAGCAGCTCAAGAGGAAGGTAAGAAGATGTTACATTCATGAGTTTCAGAGTGTTAAGAAAATCGTACCGTTGCCATAGTGATTAATGATAAATAATATATCTTTTGAATGTGAAAGTCCTCAGATTGTTGCATGACAGGAAGGTGAAACAGTTGAATTGTTTTTGTTTTAGTCAGTGCTACACAAAGCAATGTTCATAACTAAGATGGAGAGAAATTAAATCAATAGCAATAGTTTTCTAAATGTTTTAAACATTTACTTTGAACTTGATTTTAGTAGTAGTATTAGTAGTAACATATTTTGGGAATTTCTAGGTTTGACCATCCACATATAATGAAGCACAATTAATTATGAGTTATAAAAGATAATGTCAGATGATTATTTTGAGTGCTCAAATATGACAGGAAAAGATTTCAAAATGTTTCTTCAAAATTGGTTGAGAATTCTTTCACTCACTTAAACAAAAACATTTCCAGACACATTTTTACACAGTTTGGCAAAATATGATTAGACTGTCATTTCGGTGAATTCTCTGAACAGTTTGAATTTTTGAAGAAACTACAATTTTTACCTGTTTCACAGCTTCACCACGCGGAGCAGGAGAAGCAGAGGTGGCGCATGGACAAGGCCCAGCTGGAGCAGACCCTCCAGGAAAACAAGGAGCGAATGGAGAAGTTGGAGGGGTATTGGATGGAGGCGCAGAGTCTGTGCCAGGCCGTGGATGAGCACCTAAAGGAGACACAGGCTCAGTACCAGGCCCTAGAGCGCAAGTACAGCAAAGCCAAACGCCTCATCAAGGAGTACCAGCAGAAGTAAGACTGGAAGAAGACATACGCACCGTGGGTGGACTATATGGCATAACTTAACTGTTTTTTTATCTGTTACAGGGAGATTGAGTATCTCAAGAGGGAGACTCAGCGTTGTGCACAAGTCGGGGCTGAAGCTACTCAACTCAAAGAAGAGTCTGGACAACTCCAAGAACAGGTAAACACTGCAAGAGAGAAGCCATGCTGGCTCACATTAAATAAGTCTATTAACGAAATTAATGTGTTTAATAGAAAACTGTTATCACCAGTGACACCCGGATGTTTATAAATAGATAGATGGTTAGATGGAATATTTATTGTTTAAGGACAGCCTTTTTCTGGAAAAAATATGTCAGTCTCTGCTATCAGTTGGCTGACAATTTGAATGATTGAATTCAGTGAGAACAGCAGAGGCAATCAGTGCTGGGAAGTAAGATTTTCCTTCTTTAATCAGTGATAAATAAATGCAATAATCAAAGTGACAGTATCCTAAATATTCAAAATACATGAAATAAAATCTGACAGAGTACATTACAAAATGCATTTTTGTAGGCAATTTTCTGATTTACCTGTCTTCTAGCATCTTATTTACTGTGTACCTATAACTATACATCAGTTCAGATTTTAGTAATGCTGTAGTTGTAGATCTGTAACTAATACTGCAGTATGTGTAGTTATTACTTGTACTTTTTTCCTTTCAGGTGGCGGACCTGGAGTGCCAAGTGGAGGAGCTGAAATCCGAGCCGTTATAAAGCCTTTATTTGTTTCACGTTTCTAACAATGCATTTCTCCATCACTACAAGAAGAGGACAGTGTTATTGTGCTTTCAACGAACCGCAGGGTATTTCTGATGACTTTGTTAATGGGGCAGAGAAGCCATTTTGTGCCCCCCGCCTTCGTAACTCACCCACTTGCTCATATTTACCATGGTTATCTGTTCGGGGAATGTTGAAAATGATTTTAGTACCAGACAGACTTGTTCTTTTGTTAAGCTCTTGATGTTCTCTTCCTTTGTTTCCACACTTAAGTATTCCTTAATTAGTGGTTATGTGCGTACCCAGCTGTTGCTTTCAATTGCCAAAAAACGTTCCTACAACTTTCTTTTCGCCCTGTTTCGTGACATTTTTGAGTTTGTACATATGTGACGTGTGACTTTACAATCAGTTGGTTTTGTATACATTTTTAACATGTATAACATTTAACATAATATAAACGAATGACGAAGGAAGTCATTTAAGAGTATATGTAATGAAGGATGTACATTGGAGGGATTTGCACTAAAAAGGACTTAATATATGGTGCATCACTGGACTGAAGATTGAACAGAAATGTCTTTGATATTGTACAAAGAGTAACTCATCCTTTGTAGGGGCCTAGTCACTTAACCCTAAGAACCACCTGCTGCCTACCTTACAGAAGTGAATTTGTGATTTTTTTACACATCAACTCAACCGAATGAACAACTTTTTTATTTTATTAAAGGTGCACTGTGTAACTTTTCTGTTGGAGGATCTGCCACCTGCTCTTTGACATGGAGTTGTTATTGTTTTGTCTGGAATGTCCCGGTATGGCATTCCACTCAATAACATGGGTTTTTATTAACCTAAAAACTTGCATTCTTATTGTGAGTGCGCTCGCCTCTCCACAGATATGACATGAAACTTGGCCCTGTGGTGTCACCTGCTGTCTCCGTAGAGATAAATAAGTGTAATGCCATACTGTTGAACATTCCAGGCAGTATCACCATGGAAAGAAGCAGGTGACGGACCCTGCACCAGAAAAGTGACACCGTGCACCTTCAAACCATCGCTTTTTCGAGAATGGACCACGAAAACAAGCCTCCTCAACTGCTGTGCCACAACTGTTTTTCCCTCAAAAATGGATGTTGTCAAAGACTTGTGATTTTAGTTAGGACTACTGATGTGAAGTACTGGACCGATGCCAGCAGAAATGTATTTACGGTTTCAAAGCTTGTATGTAACCAGCAGCTGCACCCACCACCACCGTGTAGCACATGGAACACTGCCAGGTCTCTCTACCTGTTTGAATTACGCACAGTTTAAAATGAAATTGAGTGTAACTTGTATCTCATGTCATACCAGTATGTTTGTATAGTTCAGGTTAAGACTAAAATATTTTAATTTTACTTAATATTTATATGATAGTCAAGTTGGAACTAAAAGCTAACATGACGAGAACTGACGAAAGCAATGTTCAATAGACAATGTTATAATATGTCATGTAAAAAAGTAGATCTGGACAAATACAAAAATGATTACTAAGTTAAAATAATAGGCATGGTTATGGGTATTTTCATGATATTAAGGCTTGTACAGTGCACCTGCTTTGCATTGTATGTTTTGTGGAATAAATGGTCAACAGTGAAAATTCAAGATGTCTCATTTTTATTAAAAAAGAAAATTACACAAGCTTTAGTTTTCAAAATAGACATCTTCCACTGTCCTATAATACATTATTTTGATTAATTAAACTTTAAATTAAGAAAATGAAGCTGGATTAAGCCAAAAAAAATATTATATACAAAACAGTCCCTGCACAAAAAGTATAAGAGCGTGTAGTACTATGCAGCAAAAACCTTATGCAGTCAAACCTAAAATTATTAAAATCCTGAAAGTGAAATACAGTTGATATTTTTAAACAAATTCTATATTTCAGATTCAAAATATGAAGAAGAATGTTTACCTTTTCTCAAAAAACAGTGGCAAAGCATCATCTCTACCAGCAGTCAAAATTTGTTTGATAACTTTAAAAATGACAGGCAAAAAGTTCATATTTTATTCTATTACATGAGGCTTCAATTCTCTCCACATTTAGGGTTAAACTTTTAAGTTCCTCATATTCTCAACTCGCTGTCTCGATCTCTTATTTTACTATGGTGATTCTATCCCGTGACAACCATTTATTTTCAGAGCATAAATACGTGTCTTGTAACTTAACCCACAGAATTAAAACGTTCTGCTAATACTGAGATTGAAAGTTCTGACCATTCACAGCGCAAAAAATACTGTGTACAGAAAATATTCTCAAGTAACAATATGAGTAACTAAATTCTGACAACTCTAAGGGGATGTATTCACCATACAATTTTTGTCAATGGTAGTAACTATTGTTTTATCTTATACTTTTTCTTCATCCCATTTACGAGTGCATCTTCTGGTGATGTCTCCTGAGATGGTAGTTCCTGGAGAAGCTCTTGCCACACTGTGTGCATTTAAAGATCCTTTGACCGAGGTGGAGCATCTGATGAGCTTTGAGACTTTGAGGACGACTAAAACTTTTACCACATTCGGGGCAGGTGTGGGGCCTGACTCCTGTATGTTTTCTTTCATGCCTTTTTAGGTCTCCTGATTGTCTAAAACTCTCTCCACAATGTGTACAGAGATAAGGTTTCTCCCCTGTATGTGTCCTGAGGTGCACGTTGAGCTGCCCCACGTGTGTGAAGCTTTTGGGGCAATGGGGGCAACTAAATGGTTTTTCTCCTGTATGAATTCGCTGATGTTGTTTCAGACCATATTTATTACTGAACCCTTTACCGCAATCTGGACACAAGTAAAGGATTTTGGTCTGTTGAAAGCATGCGTGGTTCTTGAATGTTTTTTCACTCACATAGGTCTTTTGGCATAGTGTACATTTGAAGCGTTTTTCTCGAACTTCTTCCTCAACACCAAGGTCTTCAAGTGTTTCTGACTCACAGTGAGACAGATAATCAATGGGATGGTGCCTCCTTATGTGCTTCAGTAAGTAGTTTTTGATGCTAAAGGAAAATTGACAAAAAGGGCAGGGGAAAACTTCGGATTTGCAAAGGTATTTATCGCAGTTTTTGTTTCTCTGATGATGTTTAAGTTTCGAAGCACTAGAAAAGACCTTACCACAAAGATCACAAGCAGGTGTAGGATTATAATCGGCATCATCGCTATGTGCCGTCCGCTCGTGTCTTTTAAGAAACCCAGATTTGCTAAAAACTGCTCCACATTGAAGACATTTGAGTTTCCTCGCGGGGCATTTGTGAGTTTTGAGCAGTTTTGGATTTGGGTACGTACGTTTACAGCGATTACAACCGTACCATTTGAACTTTTTGGTTGGCTTTACACTGTTGCTGCTTGGCGTCTCTGGTTCGGGACAGTTTTCCTCACTAGATGCAGTTTTGTTGGCTGGCGTTGTGTTTTGAACTTTCCTGCGTTTTGGAGCAATGAGCCTTGCTAGAGCTGAAATTTTAGATCTTGCTTCGTGCCGCTGTGGTCTCTGATACGTTGATACTGGAGGAGATACGGTGGATTCTTCTACTTGTGGTGTTATGGGGCTGTCAGCTTTTACCTCACTGTCCGCAGGTTGATCTGTAGTTTGTTCCGCAGGTTGTTCAGCAGGTTGTTCCTCAGTTTGGTCGTTAGGTTCGTCATCTTTTTGGCTCTCCACAAACACAACATCTGGGTGCTCATTTTTGATGTGCTCCTTAAGTTCGTCTACAGAGGGTTCAGTGACCGTGCATATAGGGCAGCTAATCAAAACTATTGAGTCTTCTTTACTGACATCTTCCCTCATCTTCTTCTTTGTTTTTTTGTGCGATTTCAGATGTCTGGACAGGTCGCTGTACTGCCTAAAGCCCCTCTGACAGAATGAGCAGACATAAGGGCGGATGTTAGCATGTACAAGTGCCACATGTTTTTTCAGATTAGACTCAAGAGTAAATGTTTTATCACAGTCTGGACACTTTTTTGGTTCTTCAGGCTGAGCTGGGGGTTGTTCCTCTGTTGTACTAGAATTTTCAGTTACTGCTGATTCCTCCATTTCTTTAGAATTCTGGTTTTCAATCTCCTCTTGAACTTCATCTGGATTTGATATTTCACATGTCAGATTATCGTTGGACTCCAGATCCTTTTGTGATATCAAACCTGGCTTTTTATGCACAAGTTGATGCCTGATTAAACCAGATGCTTGGCTAAAAGTCCGTTTACAATGTGTGCAACAGAAGGGCCGCTCATTTGAATGGACACAAAGCTTATGTCTATTAAGGTGAGCAATTTGTTTAAAAGATTTTCCACAATCTGAGCAAGTTTTAGAGTCTTCAGAACCTTTTTCTTGGAGCACTTCAACTGACTGTCCATCGTGACCCATGTCTGTATTGGGAGAGGGAAGTTCAATAATTTCAATATTTGGATCTGAGTGGAAGTTCTCAATATGTCGCTGTAGGTAAGTCTCTGTGGTGAAGGATAACTGACAGTGAGGACATAGGAAGATCTGGCTGGAGGCAGTTGGGTTGGTTTCTAAAAAAATACACAAGCAGGGAAAAAAGCAAATGATTACTATTTACTATTGAAATGTGTATACTAAGATAGGCCTGTCATGATAACACATTTTGAAGCACGATATACTGCTACAGATATACCGTGATAAACAATAATACTGATCTCTCTCTCTCTCTCTCTCTCTCTCTCTCTCTCTCTCTCTCTGTCTCTCTCTGTCTCTCTCTGTCTCTCTCTGTCTCTCTCTGTCTCTCTCTCTCTCTATATATATATATATAGAGAGAGCAAAATTAATAGGTCTGAGCAGCAACAACAAATAAAAACAATGAAGCAATAATTAGCCAAAGAAGTTACTTGTTCAACCTTCTACACCTCAAATCTGTCTGTGGTTTGTTATATCCAAAAAAAATAAATAAATAAAAATCCTCACTATTGTAAAGAAAATGTACAGAAGATAAATACTGAGCTCCAAAATCTATTGTTTCAGCTTTCATATGTTAAACAATAAGTCAATATAGTAATAATCGTGACAGGCCTATACTAAGACATATTAAACAATTGCTATAAACATGTTAAACACATACCTCTTGTATTCAACTTTGAAAACCAGAACAGGGTCCAAGCTTCGCTGAACTGGCCAAGCATCTTGCTGCTGGGCCACACCATCAGTTCATCCCCAGCACTGATTGTACCACAACAGTGAAACAGGATGCTGCCTTTGTACTGTACCGCAATCAGGTTTGCTTCTTCTTTGCTACGAGCACTGTTCACATATCTATGAAAGACAAGTTATGAGTCCCTAGGCAAAATATGCAATAATATGACATAATACCTCTGTGAATTTTTACCTCATCCAGTTTGAATGAGTGTCTTTGGCCCCATCTATGTACTCGTATCCCTCTTCTCCTTTGTTGATCTGCAAATGAGATTATTTATGTTTACATTTTAATAACTTATCTGTGTAATCAGAAAGGAAATTTTATTCTGTCAACTGGGCAAACATCATCATCATCAAAACTCATCCTAGCTTCTACAGCTATGAGAGGATACCAATAAGCTGCTGCCTTATATCTAGGGCTGGGTATCTTTAAGAAGTTGCCAATACGATATATAACTCAATACATAGGCCATGATACAATACATATCTCGATACAGTACACTTTTAGTTCAGTATGATATATTTCATATCGAGTTGATCTTGTGCAAAGTTAATATGAAACACACCCACTTTAATCATCAAAACAGTGAAAATGTCAAATGTGTTGCATAAACGAGTTTCCTTTCTCTAAACATACAACAAAACTGCAGCACTGTAACAAAAGAATTTTGTAAAATATACCAAAATATTGGTATTTGAATGCAAAATATTCTTTGCAGTATATTTTAGTAGGATAATAGTGGCATAAAAAGGTATTCAAAATTTATATAAAAATGGTTAAAATTGGCAGTGTACAGGTAAACACATTTATAATCACTTAAGAAACACCAGTATCATTGATTGGGGGTACTCAGAGTCTAAGTTGGTTGGAACCACTAGTTTCGAATAAGAAGTATCTGTTATTAATAAAGTCAACTGAAGTATTATTTAATCACCATATATTCCGTACTGAAAAACATGGTATGAAGTTAAAAACCCAATCTCTCTCTCTCTAGTGTCATCTTGAAAATGTTTTGTTGAGTAGACAGAATTCAGTTATTTTTTGCTATTTTTTGTATCTTCAAAATGAAAATACTCTGAACATACCTCCCATGAGAAATGACTCGACAATGCATCTTCCTTTGCAACCACTTCTCCCTCATATGGGCCGAAGTGCATCCCAGGAGACAGAGTAGGGCCATGGTTGATCACACCCACACCTGCATTAGGAATGCTGGACCTGCCGATCATGAGCCCAAAAGGTATTGTTAGAAGAGCCCGCTGCGGCACATCCACAGCTGTTGGAAAGTCCAGAATGAAGGACGGTCCACTCATATTTGCAGGGTCAGTTTGATCTTGAAAAAGAGACAGACACTCCTCACAACCTAAAGAAAATAAGACAGTTCAAGTAAATATGAGTTACTTGGATCACCTATTATAGATGCAGAATTCAGACTTACAAAAGCCAGCACTCTCTCCTGGTACCACTGTATCTAATAGCTTCTGGATAGGAGCTTCAGCTGGCTCCAAAATAGGCATAACTACATGCGAAGAGAAAATATTGAAGAAACATTACTGATTATATCCAAAAATGACTTAACAAATGACTGAAATCCAAACTATACCTGAGGTGACAGTGTCTGTAGAGTTACTGGCATCTGGAGGTATGCATTCCTGAATTATAAGGACCTCTGCAGTTTCAACCCACTCCACACCACCGCCCCTGTCCGTCATTTCTGCACGCTATGCAAGGACGACAATTCTAATTATTCTGTGTAAACTGGGCTAACACGATAGCAAAGTAGCGCTAATAGCTAGCGCTAACCATTATAACTAGACTTATACAGTGGATAAACAAGCAAAGCGTATTGTCCACAAAGCATGACCACAAACCCAAAACTTGCATTAATACAGTGACCGCAAAATTAACTTTGTTTGCTACTCCAAACCAACATTAGCTTACTCTGATAGCAATGAATGTAGTTTTTAAAAAAGAGTAGTAACAAGAGCAAAAACTATTTCTAAGTAAGTAATTAACAATTGCGTGCACTTTCAAAAGTCCATACCTGAAGATAAAGTGTCAGACTGCTTTAGATTAGTTTAAAATAATCTGAAAACATGTGTTAGATATTAGCTCATGCTAACGGCGGTGGGTAGAAGTAATTCCCGGAAGTAAATATGACTCTTTCAGAATAAGAGTATCTACATCCTTTTCAAAAATATGGTTATGTCGCGTTTCTTTCCTTGGCTGACATATTTAGATAATTGATACAGATACAAAAAATAAATTGTTGTTGAATTGGTTGTTAATGAATCCATAAACTTAAAAAAATATGAGTGAAAACACTCTACTTATCTATACTATAATTTTGAAATCTACCGGTCTATCTTCTCAACGGCGCCGCTGGTGTAGTGGTATCATGCAAGATTCCCATTCTTGCGACCCGGGTTCGATTCCCGGGCGGCGCACGAGTTTTTTTCTCATTTACTAGTGTCATTATTGTGCATTTCTCTCTGAACTACACTTCAGTTTCATCTGTTCTCACCCGCAAAATGTTTATGTTTTTGTGAGCTAACCATAGACTGTATATGGAGCCCACCCAACGACAAGCTGAGACCATGGTGATTAGAGACGTTGCTAGGTAACGACGCCATAACGCCCAGTAGTAGACAGTTTCCTGGTGTGTTATTTGTTCTTTATATTTGACATGGAGAACTTTGCAATAGATAGAAATTCACCCGACTATGATTTAACAGAGTGCAAACCGTGTGCTCATCTCTGTGGCATATGTCCTGCTTGTGTTTTTGCCAAAACTCCGCCGATTTCTACGGATCATTTATGGACTGTTGGAGACACTTTTCACAGGAGGTTCCTAATGGACTTGCTATCCCGATGCAGAAGCCTTCAAGTGCTGAGAAAATGCACCGTGTGTTAGACCATACAACGTGGTCAATGTTTTCTTACGCCAGATCAGATAATTTAGCTTGTTCTGGCACTGGCCTCAACACAAAATCTCAAGAAAAACCGCGTGGATTCAATGGACACGAGATAAGAGAGTGGTTTGACAGCCACCCAGACTGGATCAAATCTCACTATCTTTGCCGACTTCTTTTGCGCTGTGACAATGACTTATTACGGGCTCTTGCTAACTTAACAAACGTGTTACTCATCAGACAACAGCGTGGACTACTCACATTTGAAGGTAACTAGTTTTTTTGTTTTTGAACCTGTTTAATTTTATTGTAATTCTTCGACTTACCTAATGGGGTCAGTAAAGTGCCTCTAATAATTCATGGTTTCAGCGTCCAGTTATAGGCAACATTTTGAGGACTTTTCCCCCCATTCAGAACATATAATATTCAGTTTTAAATTGTTAATTGATTTGGTAACATTTTAAGTTTCTAATTTTTCATTATTCTGTTACTCATGGTTGAAAAAACACTGATAATAGTTGGATCGAAGCAACTCTAGTAGGATTTCTATTTCTTATGAATGCACGTTTCTGTGTCTCTCTTAAAGGATGTAACACTAATGAAGAGTCAGATGATCCTGCTATAATGGTAGTTCCTGGTTCCTCCAAGTCCTATAGTGGGATTAGCCGATACAAAGATTTTATATCCGATTTACCTGTTAATCTGGCTAAAAGAATCTTAGGTAAGTGCAATGTAATGTAAATAACATGTATGCTCAGTATAGTAAGTAAAAGAAAATTGTTGAAAAGAAATAATAATAGCTTGATCTGCTGCTTGCGTTTCAAGGTTTACTGGATCAGTCTTGTTTAAAAATCTGCAATAAGGTGTCAAAGAGGTGGGAGTTCCTTGCAAAAGAAACCCTCAGTGAGATTGAATTTAGAAAAAGCATTAATGAAAAGATCATGGATGCGGTCAAGGTTGGTACTTAACATGCACACAAACAAACTACTATCTTTAATTACTGATTTTATATACATAATATTACGGAATATTTTTTTTTGTTTTTAGAAAAAGGATGGAAACTTTGCGAGTCCAACTTATGCCAATGTTGTCAAAGTCCAAGTGCCTGTCAGTGAGGATACATCTGATGGCAAAGAGGTAAATTCATTTCTAGTATTATAATAAAATGCACATTGCAATATTTCAATATATTACTTTTTTTTTTTTACTTTAATAATTTTGCAGGCCATTTTGAAAACAAAACTGGTACAAATGGAAGAGCGTAATGTTTTCTGTGGTGGATTCTTCACTACCAATGTCACAGATAAGTAAGAGAGGTACTGTTTATGATGAATATACTATAGAAGATAGGGTCAGAGTTAAGATTCAGTTTTACACATTGAATGGCAATAACCAAATCACAAACGCTGCTATTTTTGTCTTTTACTTTCCTGTTATAAGCAACAATTTTTTCCCATTCAAAACAAGTAATATTTTGTTTTAATTAACAACTTCATCAGAATGGCAACGGCCCTAATTTGTCATCATTCTGAAAGCCATGTATAGAGAAGTAAATTCTTTAGAGAAGTATATTCAGTCTCTATAATATCTTATTATGTAAACCTACTAACATCTAGTTAAGTGTTCTGAAATGCATATGATTCTTATACATTTATTTACCTCAAATGTTATTGCTCCTGGGTTTGAACTGTGACCTGAATCTTGATTTCTTTAATGACCATAATCTATTGTCAGTGTCAAAATAAGATGCACTTTGATTAATTTGTTTTTTGTTTTTTTTTGTCCAGACGTAACCCTCAGCGTGTCATAGACTACAGGGGGAGCACATTGATGGCGGTGGGCTCCAAGGATGGCACAGTGCAGATCCTTCATGTGTCTATGGAGGCCAGAGTCATCTCTGTGTTCAAGGGAAACGGTGTTCAGATCAGAGCTTTGCGGCTGTACGAGGACAAGGACCTGGTCATCACTGGAAGTTTTGATGCAATAATCAGGTAAGAAAATTTAAAAAGTAGGTATGAATTGTATTGAGTCAAACTGTATGACTAATGCAGAAGAGTGTGTGTTAGTAGCTGACATAGTGAAAGTTAAATTTATAAAATATATAATTCAAGACTCTACACTCATTGGTCAAAACTGGACTTCATCAAATTTAAGATAGGCATGGTTTGATTTTTCTTTCAATGTCCAATATTTGTCTAGCTTTTGTGATCATTAAAAATATAAACCAAAGCCCACGTATGGAAAAAGTTATAGTAAATATACCTGCAATGTAATATACTTTAATATATTTTTTTTAATGATGGTTGTGAAACCTACAAGATAAATCTCATTCACAAAGTGGGAAGGATACATGGGTACATACAAACTGGGGCAACTGTGAAAAAATATTGACCAGTTATATCATCATATATTGTGCTTTCCTTTTTAAAGTACTGTCTTTTGATCATATACATCTGAACAGCACATTTTTCTTTACATTTGACAACCTTACATTTACACAACTTGTGTAATCTCATGTATTTCTGAGTCACAGATATAGTTTCATTCCTGCTCTCTCCTTGCAGATGTTGGAATCTCAAAAAAGGAACATGTGTAATGACGCTGTCTGGCCATGCGGGGGTGGTTAACTGTCTGGATGTGTGTGGAGATAGACTTGTCTCAGGGGCCAAAGACTGCACTGTAAAAGGTATGTAAATAATGAAAATAATAAGAATAGATGTGAGACTAAACATATTTTCTTTTGTTATTTTCTAGTTTGGGATCTGTTAAAAGGGAAACTTTGTGAGGAGTACAACTTTAAGCACCCCAGCCCTGTCCAGTGTGTGAAGATCCACCAAAGCAGAGTCTACAGCAGCTGCGACAAAGGACAGGTCAAAATATGGGACTTGGAGAAAGCAGCTGTGATCAAGGTAATGTGGTCTTCAAACTAAAACCCACAAATCAAACTAAAGTACAGTATCAAAGAAAGTACAATACCAAAGGGCTTTTTAAAACTGCATCTATTCTAAAGCTGCACTACATAACATTTCAAATGGAGAGTATACACCCTGCTGGTTTTCATGGAGATGTGATTAATTTGTCCAGAATTTTAGAAAGGTATTAAATCTCCTATCTCCATCAATACAAGAAGCAGAAGTGTGATAATGTATTGTTTATCTTGTTTTCATAGTGTTCTTTACTAATGTAATACACTGTAATATAATACCACCACTCTAGCTTAAACAACAGTGCACATTATTTATATTTTCTGTACATTGTAGGTGATTGACGGCCACCAAATCTCCGTGCGCTGTCTCTTCTTTGATGAATGGCATCTTCTGACCGGAGACATCAAAGGTGTGGTCATGGCCTGGAGCACTCACTGTGAGGCCAAAGACTGTATCAAGACCTTCCACCATCCAAAGTAAGCATCACATTTACAGCAGCAAGTTAGAGGCACTTTGTTATTCATCACTTACTTCATGCATTCCCACAGCCCTAATTATTTACTATGATGAGTTTAAAAGTGCTTTTCAGAGCTTTCAGAGAGCAGATTGGAGTTCTCTGCCAATGCTAACAACAACTAGAATGCTAACAGTGCTCTTCCTGATTCTCAGACAATAAAAGTCTTTATAATTAGTTCCAGACAGCACACAGCAGCCGCATTTGTTCCTTAAGAGCTGCCTATATAGTATATTTCTACTGGACATTTCATAAACTTACATTCATTACAGGGCTTTTCTTTAAACACAAGCTTGCCTCTCCACAGATCTCAATTGTAACTTTGCCTGGTGGTGACTGAAATGTTACGCAGTGTGGCTTTAAACTATATTGTGTTGTTCTAATGCTGTGTCTGTTTTTCAGAGAGGTGAAATCACTTACTCTCACTTACCTGCGTGTGGTCACTGGCTGTGCAGATGGAAAAATTAGAATATTTAACTTTCTGACTGGAGACTGTCTCAGGGCAATAGTGGCAGGAGCTAAATCCAACCAAATCCTGTCTGTTTGTTTTCAGGAAAACAGGTAAAACTAAAACTCCAAATTTACAAATTAAACATACGGTTTTGCATATGCTGACATATCTTCTCCATGATTTTATCTTGAAGCTTTGTAGTGAACGGTATTGCAAATGTTAAGCAGTACCATTTTGGAGAGGTCTTCTGGGATTATGGAGACTCTGCAAACAAGGATAAAAAACATGTCCGGACTGAGGAAGTTTTGACTTTAGATACACCCAACCTACCTGCCTCTGCTCCCGTCATTAGAGTGTTTTCACCCAATGGGAAACCTCGCAACAGAAGAAAATCTCTGCCAAACCTCACCAGCTCCTCAGCCAAATGTTCAACTCAAGGTAATGTCTTGGTGTGTTTTAATTGTAATTTTAAAGGTACTATGTAACTTTTTTGTTGGGGGTCTATAGTTTTCCTCTATAGACATGTCATTGTTCTGCCGGGAATGTTCCACAACATTTAACAGGTCTGCCTTACATTTATTCATTTACAGGCGCTCCTATAGCTCAAAAATACCTGGAAAAACAGGCCTTCCAACTGTAAGCAGGATTGCCTCTCCACAGATCTGACCTGTAACTTGGTCTGGTTTGGTCTCCATGGTGATAGAAAAGAATCAAATGAAACAGAAAATGCACACCAAAGCTCCTGCAGAGGTGCAAATGCAAGGAACAGCAAAACAAAAGTGAAAAATGCATGGCACACTCAGATGGCTGATGTCCAAAAGCTTTTATTTATTTTCAAATAACGTTAAGCATAAAGAGCCTTCGTCAAATATTTTTCTTGCTTTGGACCACAGTATCAAGAAAGCTTTAATGCCATACGGTGAAACATTCCAAACAAAGCAAAAACAGCTCCATGGGTAAAAGCATTTGACGGACCCTCCACCAGAAAAGTTACACAGTTTTAATTTTAATCTTAATTTTGTTTGGAAAAACTCTTTACAAAGCTATTACTCTAATGACAACGTCCAAAATCAAGTCACTGAAGCAAACTAGAACATATGGTATTAATGTAGCTCTACATTTAGATGCTAATATCCAGGATAAAATAAATGTTACTTGCTTAACACAGTGTTTGTCATTCAGAAGTTTTGGTAAACCTTCCAGTAGTCTAAAATCCAAATCATTTAAATGTAAAATGGCTTACAATAAATAATAATTCTTAATAATAATGAAAACCAAGCATACACTAGCTATTAATCTGATTCCAAATGGTCAAAAGTGCCATTATATTGCTACTGGTCAATTTGATATATATATGACAAGAAATGTATGTGACAAATACAAATTCTATCAATAACATGTAACAATTGTATGTTAATTTAAATAAAAACGTGTGCTTCTTTTTTAGAACAAATAGATTCTGTCAAAGTGGCCCAGAGTGAAAAGGCTGCATTTGCTCGAATCCAGAAGAGAGGCCCTCACCAACCTCCATCCAGAGACTGCATCCTCCTCAAGGTGAACGCAACACAAAAGGCTGAATATATGGACGAAGTGGGCCTTAACATGGAGCACAACGCCAAGCTAAGAGATGACTGGAGCTCTCCTATACCATCAAATGACTCACCCACCATAATAACCAGTGCACGCATCTCCAAAACCAGCACTTTGGGTTCAAAATATACACCAAAAAGGGAGGTCTCTACTGCCCCGGGGTGCATCATGAGACCCCACCCCCCTTCAGTGGAGAGAACGCAATCCCAAAGTGCAAAGACTCAAAGATTGGTCAACAGAAGTGCAACTACTAATGTGAGCAAAGAGCAGACAAAAAATCTAATGGCAAAATCGGTTTCAGATCTGGGTAATTCTGTGAAATCTTCTAAAAATGTGAAAAGTGTGAACGTTTTCAACAATCATACAGAGTTTAAACTGCTGTCGATGGCACAGTTAGAAGAACATACTAAAAGTCTAAAGGATCTCAAAGGAAAGGAAGTTTCAGTAAAGCACAAGGGATTATAAAAAGGAGACATGAATCGCTGTTATTTAAGATCAATAAAAGTGTGTTCATGTTATGTAAGGTGACTGTTGTTTGATTAAATGTCCACAAGAGGCCACTATTGTATCATTTTGTTGTTACCTAGAATCCTGCATTATTCCACGGCACTGGTTCACAATTTTCCACGAACACCAAGCAACTGAAAGTTTGTGGGTCTATAGTTATAAATCCCACTAACAATTCCCAGTGGAATCCAAACAGCAAAACCACCAAGACCAAAAATAAGCATTCATGATTGTATGGAGAAGTGTTGTGGTTTCCAACATTGATGCAAGTAATCAAGAAAATACAAACGAATGGATGTGTATTATTTTGTGCTTGGTTACCAGGTTACCATCTTTGTAAATAAAATGAATTATAGCTGATGTGAAATTAGAGCTTCTATTTGTATACATTCAAGGTCTATGATGGCAAAAACGATGACGTGGTATTGATTGCTACCTCCTGAAGCCTTGTACACTGTGAAGTTCACTGTAATTACACAAGAAATATTTTTTGGACAGCCTGTTTTCTGTTAATTTGACATTAGGCAAGCAATTGAATATTTAGTAGTCTTGGAAAATTCCCTCTATCTGGGTTGATACAGACACTAATTGATGCTAAATCTTTGGAAAGTAGTTTTAGATTAGTTTTAGACTTAGATTTGTTCCATGTCAGAACTAGTATAAGACATTGTTAAATGTGCACTATGTAACTTTTAGTTAGGGGTCTGTCGCCTGCTTGTTTCTATGGTTATGTTACAGCAAGTCCTGGAATGTTCCACAGTATGACATTAAACAGCTTTATGTTATTAGGTTCTTTTTTCAGACCAAGGGTTTGTTTTCATACCTGACAGTTTCGACTGCTCACTAGTGCTCTTCCTCAGAGTGGTCACCTGATGTTGCTGTGACGTGTCCGGTCAGCTGATTTATACAGGTTTTGGCACTGTCTTCTTACCGTTAGAGGCAGGATGACAGCGCAATCTGCAGTCCAACTTCCTCAGGACAGTATCCCAGGTGTGTGAGAGTAAAAAAGCCCTCTCATCCCAGTTTATAGTCCCGTGAGCACATTCACACATTTTAATTGCCTCTTTAATCCAGCAACGATGTTTGTTGTCCTCTGTCCCAATGATGTTTGGTCCGTCCTAGTCCATAATGTGGTTCTCTCTTTTACAGTGGTCAGAGATGGCCGATTTGAGTTGTTCCTGTTCTGCTCTGTGTTTTGTTGCTCGTGTGCTTGCCTTTGCTGTTTTGCCTTCACTATTTCGCTGTTTCTCTGTTTTTCACTTGTCTGAAAAAGAACCTAATGACATAAATTACTTGAAGACCAAATGAACCTCATTGGACTAATAAACAGCTCTACCTTACATTTTTTCAATTACATTTATTTATTGCTCAGAAATGCGTAAAAAAAAGCATGCATTGTGACACTGAGCAGTAAAGGTCTCTCTACAGATCTGACCTGTAACTTGATATAGTTTGGTCTCCATGAAGACAGAAAGGTTTAATGCTATACTGTGAAACATTCCAGATAAAGCAATAACATCTCGATGGAGCAAAGCATTTGACAGACCCACCAGAAAAATAACACAATGCACCTTTAATAAAAACATAAAAAAACTACTATTATTTTGTGCTGAATGTTATTGAAATCAGTATCATGTATTTTTTTCTTACTTAAGTATCAAAAATATGTTTAAAATTTTAGCATTACAACAAAGCTACTATAAAGTGACCTTTCAGTGGTGTTTTTGCACTTCAAACAAGATGAATGAAGCCTTGAGATTGATTCAAGTCTGTCCCATCCACCCAGGCCTCCAACCCCACCACCTGCCCTGCTGCCCTTGTGCCTACGGGCAATCATTAGACCAGGAGAGGATTGAAGATCAAGACCCAACGTCTTTGCCTATCCTCTCCTCAATAACAAAGAACAAGCTGACAGAGTAAGACATCCCACTTTTTTAGACAACCATTGAGGGGCGCTATGCTGCTAATTTGATTTACTCTGGTGCCTGGACTTTGAGTAACAACGTCTATGCGCACTATTCTTAAAAACACAATGCAGTCAGCCATTGTACCGCTACAGACTTAAGTTTGCTTTGTGAGCTGATCTATTGTTCAGGCAGGTATGGTTCCCCTTATCCAGACCACAGAACCACAGGGGGATAACAGGCGTAAAATCTAACCCCAAAAGTGAGAGTCGACTTGGGGACCCTTTTCTTCGACCTTATGTTCCCTTGTATGGGCCTTAGTAATGATAGGAGACAGAAGGCAAGAGGTTTCAGAGAGACCCAGTTAAAAAAAAGACTGAGGCACTGGTTTCCGTATCTCCACAAGCATAGACTCTATGACATAGTATATATCCAAAAACAAGTATTATTATTTTTTTTTTATTATAATCTAAATCGGAATAGTTAAAGGGGGTTTAAATCAGACACATTTTTTTATAACATATGCAAAAGGGCCCATATTACACTATCTTCTGATTTATGTTGACACTATGATACTGTTTCCACATCAAAAACATACTTGGAGTTGTAATTTGTTTCATTCACACATGTTTAACACACAAAACCTGCATATTTAGGCCAATTAGAATCATGTGGATTATTTCTGTCCTGGAATTGCCCATCTCTACTGAACGTAGGTAAAAGGAACTGTTAAGTAAAAAATTACAGTTTCATGACATCGCAAGGGGCAGGGATAATTTTGATCTTTGGAGATGCAGACATACTAATAACAAAGGGCTAGTCAAACATGTGCAAATGAAAAAAACAAAAACAAAACACAATTCTAGGTATGTTTTTGAGGAGGTAGCAACATTATAACATGGCTCAAAGCTCAAAGCTCATAAGAGTCATTTTCGTGTAATATAGGACATTTAAGCTCTTCTACACGCAAACTAAATATGCACCTAATGGACATTTTGCTTAGAAAAGCAGTTATTCTTATCACAAATGCCATTCGTCTCCTAAATGTGGTGATTTGCATATTCACTGGGCCCATCACGTCTGATCGGGCTCCTGTTAAACCTACTAATGGTGCCATATCTGGACACTGCTCCCGGGCAAGTCAGTCTCCGTCTGAGTGACATGCAAATCCTATATCACTGAAAAATACCAAGAACAACCTTCACTGACCTGCTTTAAAAAGAAAATCCGAGAGGGGACAGGATATAACATTGCTCCTGACATGGCATGACAAAAAGTGAAAAATGTATCTGACAAATAATGCAAATTGTGCCCACAGGGATGGTGACAAGAAGCAGAGGTCAAAGGTTAGTGGAAGCTTTTGTCTTCTTAATGGTACGACTCTTCATAAGACTTAAAAAAAAAATCCAAGGTCCTTTTAAAAAGTGAGTTTGACATGAAGTTAAAGTGTCCCCGTTGTGGCCAAAAGAAGAGTGGTGGGAGTCATTTGGGCTCAAATTTGACCAAATTTTCAAAATGCTCAAAACTGGCTGGAAACGTCCCCAAACAACCTCAGACCACCCCAGATGGCCATATTGGAGCATCTTTTGTCATTTGAAGGCAGTTTGGGGCCGAAAGCTGACATGGCCAAAAATGACATTTTTCGTCAGGACCGGCCCTGTCGTTTGGGCTCAAATTTGACCAAATTTTCAAAATGCTCAAAACTGGCTGGAAACGTCCCCAAACAACCTCAGACCACCCCAGATGGCCATATTGGAGCATCTTTTGTCATTTGAAGGCAGTTTGGGGCCGAAAGCTGACATGGCCAAAAATGACATTTTTCGTCAGGACCGGCCCTGTCGTTTGGGCTCAAATTTGACCAAATTTTCAAAATGCTCAAAACTGGCTGGAAACGTCCCCAAACAACCTCAGACCACCCCAGATGGCCATATTGGAGCATCTTTTGTCATTTGAAGGTAGTTTGGGGCTGAAAGCTGACATGGCCAAAAATGACATTTTTCGTCAGGACCGGCCCTGTCGTTTGGGCTCAAATTTGACCAAATTTTCAAAATGCTCAAAACTGGCTGGAAACGTCCACAAACAACCTCAGACCACCCCAGATGGCCATATTGGAGCATCTTTTGTCATTTGAAGGCAGTTTGGGGCCGAAAGCTGACATGGCCAAAAATGACATTTTTCGTCAGGACCGGCCCTGTCGTTTGGGCTCAAATTTGACCAAATTTTCAAAATGCTCAAAACTGGCTGGAAACGTCCCCAAACAACCTCAGACCACCCCAGATGGCCATATTGCAGCATCTCTTGTCGTTTGAAGGCAGTTTGTGTTTTTAGTCACTTTTTAAAACTAAATTCTTCTTATTCAATAATATTTTAACCAGATTAAAATCAAGACTTTGTCGATTTATGGCAGAGCTATACATAGTCTCAACTAGGATTAACTCACAAATTAGCTACTAGAATAAATAAAAACTAACTCCAACATTATAATCGTAAACTGGAGGTTAAAATTGCAGTCTGTCTTGAGAGTCGCTGTTAAGAATCTAAGATAAAACTTAAGACTTAACTTAAAACAAATCAATGCCTATGTATAATCTTACAACCAAATTCAAAAACATTTGTGTTTTGATCCTATACAACATCCTTAAAGGGCCCATATTACTCTATTTTCTGTTCTATGTTATAATGTTGGAGTTGTGTTTTGTTTCATTCACACATGTTTAACACACAAGAGTATTTTAGTATTTTTTTTTATCATAAAGGGTTACTCAAACATGTGTGAATGAAACAAAACACAACTCCACGTATGTTTTTGATGAGGTAAGAACATTATAACATGTCTGAAATCTTACAAAAATCAACTTTGTGTAATATAGGACCTTGAAACTTGCAGCGCTTATAACTGCCCCATGTCTGTTACCAAAGTCACCCTCTGTGGACCTTTTCTGACCTCATTTGGAGATACAGATCTTATGAGCTCCAACCACAACACAAAGATGCAATTAAGCAGAACACAATTACAGAGATAAGCATTGCATTGCACATATGTAGGACCAAGCCAAACTGACAAGAAAACATTTGTGATCACTGATTAGTCTTGGCTGATTGGGCCAAGAAATTATGATGATTGAATAAATTATGAATAATGTAAGACAAGAAAACAACGGATAAGAATGTTAAGTATAGTTGTAATGCATGATGTCAGCCGGGCTTGTCATGGAGACTTTCCTGTGACGTCAACAGGCCAAGTTACAGGTCAAATTTATGGAGAGGTGCAACAAAGCCAGCAACAAAAACATATATTTTGCATTTATTACATGACAGGTAAGTTTACTGCCATACTGTGGAAAAGGTCATATAAAGCAAAAGGAAATTAAAGGTGCAAGCGGCATCAAACAGCCCTCACCCAGCGCACCCACAAATGCCGTGCGCTACATTAACCCTAATAACTGCAAACCCCAAACCCAAATCTAACCCCTAGTCCCAATCCCAACACCAGGCCTAACCATAAACGTAACCCTAACCACTTACCTTAATGCTCTAACCATAACCCTAACCCTGTAACCCCGACTCTAACTCTAAACCTAACCCTCTAACCCTAACCCCTCAACCCTAAACCTAAAATCTTAACCCTGACCCTCTAACCTTAACCCTAACCCTAACCCAAACTCTATAACCTTAACCCTAACCCTTACCCACAGATAAGAGGTCCTTCATCCACAGACCGGAGGGACTTCACCCAGAGAAGAGAGGGCCCTCACCCAGAAATGAAAGGGCCCTCAACAGCAGATGGGACAGCCCTCACCTGCAGACGATAGGGCTCTCACCCACAGACAAAAGAGCCCTCACCCGCAGACTAGAGAGCTGTCACCTGGAGACGAGAGGGCCCTCACCCACAGATTTATTTATTTTTTATTTATTTATTTATTTTAATGAGACAGGGACAGCAAACAATTTTTACATTAACCTTAACAAGAGAGATGCATTGCATCAGGTTGTAGCACCAGTGCTAATTTCCACCTGTAGTCCCTGGGCAGGTTCATTGATTGGTTGTATTTAATTGACATTAGCTATCAATTGTTCTTCCTGGAGACCTATGTAATTATGTTTAGGATTAGGGTTAGGGTTAGCGTTAGGGTTAGAGTGTTCAGGTTAGGGGTAAAGTGTAAGAGTAGGCTTTAGGGTTACGGTTAGGGTCGAGGTTTAGGGTTAGTGTAAGTATTAGAGGGTTAGGGTTATGGTTAGGGTTAGGGTCATCTCGTCTGCGGGTGAGGAAATTTCTCATCTGCGGGTGAGGGCCCTAACCCTAAACATGCTTACACAGGTCGACTGGACGAACAGTTGATAGCTACGGTCTGTGGGTGCGTCTCTCATCTGCGGGTGAGGGCCCTAACCCGAACCCTAACACTCTAGCCCTAACCTATCTCTAACCCTAATCCTGTAACCCTAACCCTAACCCACTAACCCTAACCCAAACCCTAACCCTAATCCTCTAACCCTAACCCACTAACCCTAACCCTAATCCTCTCTCTACTCTCTAATCCCTAATATAATCCCTAATCTCTGTCCTCAGGGCACCATATTAGATCCTTTATTATTTTTTATTGTACATAAACGACTTATGTTATATATCTCAAGATCTTACCTCAATAATGTTTGTTGATGATACGACTTTATTTATATCCAATTAAAACTTTAATGTTCTAATAAACCAAACCAGTGTTGCATTATCTGCTTATAACAAATGGTTCAAAATTAACAAATTATCTCTGAATGTCAAAAAAAACCAAATTATATGATCTTTTGTGGCAAAAACTCATTTCCAACTAACCCTAAAATCAAAACTGATTCCATTGAAATAATTCGTGTCTCACCCACCAAATGTCTGGGCATCATTGTCGATGATAATCTAAACTGAAAAGAGCATGCTATCTGGGTGACCAGAAAAATTTATAAATCTCTTGGTATTATAAAAAAAAGTTCGTAAAATTCTGGATTTAAAGTCTACACTTACATTATACCTTAGTTTAGTTTATCCCTATCTGTCATATTGTAATATAGCCTGGGCAAGCACTTTCTCTATTACTCTGAACAAAATATTACTGGTGCAAAAACGTTTTGTTCAAATTGCAACTCATTATATGCCACTAACATTGTCTGCTCATTTATTCACCAAACTTAAAATTCTTAATATCTATGAGATTAATATTTATCAAATTTTTATTTTTATGTATAAAATTCTTTATAATTCAACAATGATCCCCAAACATTTCACATTTTATTTTAAAACCAATGCAGAGATTCATACATACAAAACTCGTCAAATTCATACTTTTCATGTTCCAAAATTTGTCACATCAAGAGCTCAGTTTTGCCTACAATACAAAGACTGTAAATTCTGGAGCCAGTTTTCACATCTGGTTAGTGACTGCATATCACAGGTGATGTTTAAAAAGAGTTTGAGAAAATGTTAGATATGTCATGCTAATGTTTGATAATCTTTCAATTGTGGATGTTTCATTGTGTTATCTATCTATCTATCTATCTATCTATCTATCTATCTATCTATCTATCTATCTATCTATCTATCTATCTATCTATATCTATCTATCTATCTATCTATCTATCTATCTATCTATCTATCTATATCTATATCTATATATATATATTTATTTATTTTGCACATACAACATAACAATAAAAAGAAACACACTAGATAAAAAGTATATATATATATATATATATATATATATATATATATATATATATATATATATATGATAATGTACAATTTTTTATATAAACCCTTTTGTTTGTTTGTTTTTTTGCCTCTTCCGGCACCTACTTTTTATCTAGTGTGTTTCTTTTAAGTGTTTCTCACCTTCCACGGTGGTAGGTCTCTCTCACCCTCATTCAGCTCGGGTCCTCTACCAGAGGCCTGGGAGCTTGAGAGTTCTGCGCAGTATCTTTGCTGTTCCCAGTACTGCACTTTTCTGGACTGAGATGTCCATTGTTTTTCCCGGTATCTGTTGAAGCCACTCTTCCAGTTTGGGGGTTACAGCCCCGAGTGCTCCGATCACCACAGGCACCACTGATGCCTTTACTTTCCAGGCTCTCTCCAGCTCTTCCTTGAGCCCCTGGTATTTCCCTAGCTTCTCGTGTTCCTTTTTCCTGATATTACCATCGCTTGGTATTGCGATGTCCACCACCACGGCTCTGCTCTGTTTCTTATCCACCACCACTATGTCTGGTTGGTTCGCCATCACCATTCTGTCAGTCTGTATCTGGAAGTCCCACAGGATCTTGGCTCGGTCGTTCTCCACAACCTTTGGAGGTGTTTCCCACCTTGATCCTGGGGTTTCCAGCCCGTACTCTGCACAGATGTTTCTGTACACTATGCCCGCCACTTGGTTATGTCGCTCCATGTATATATATATATATATATATATGATAATGTACAATTTTTTTATATAAACCCTTTAGTTTGTTTGTTTTTTTGCCTCTTCCGGCACCTACTTTTTATCTAGTGTGTTTCTTTTTATTGTTATGTTGTATGTGCAAAATAAATAAATAAATGAAATTAATTACAAAAAAATACAAGTTTGAAAGCTTGCAATGAGGCAACTAATTACCACAAGACCTATAATTTTATTTAAAATCTGTTTGTGAAATGTTATAAAAATCTAAGTTATGAAAGCATTTAGCTGCATTTTACTTGTAAATGTGCTTTTTGGGTTTAAAGGTACATTGTGTAACTTTTCTAGTGGAAAGTCTGTCATCAGATTTTTTTTGGAGATGTTGTTGCTTTGCCTGAAATGTTCCACAGTAGCATTAAACTTATCTATCTTCTATTTATTCAATCACAGGTGTTATTATTTCTTACAAAATCATAAACAGGGTCGTTGCTCCACAGATCTGATGTGTAACTTGGCTTGGTGGTGTCACTTTTTTGTTTCCATGGACATAGATACATTTAATGCAATACTGTGGAGCATTCTGGACAAAACAACAACATATCAATTCTCCATCTGAAAAATTATACAGTGCACCTTTAAAACAACGTGTTATGAATATTAGTCACCATGTAGGTGCTTAGCCTCTATGATGCCTTTGAACTCTTAATAATTTAAACTTTTCTAAAAGGCTTTGGAATAAATGAATGGAAAATTTACCAGAGCAGACAGTCATTATGTGAGCTCCAAATGTGGTCTTACTGGTTAGTTGTGAAATATGGTGGTACAAGCAAAAGTAGTAGTAATATGTGTATTTTACAAATGAATGTACAAATATCAGTAGAAGTATTCACTCCTTCCAGTCCAAACTTTTTTTCTTAACCATATTTCAAAGTACACATTACAACACCTTAGGCTAATTGAGTAATTATATTCTAGTCTATTGTAATATTGTTATTCCGATACAGATTCTGACCACATGTGCTTATTTGACATAAAGACCCTTTGTGTGGGTAGCCTCAAAAGTTCCACAGTTTTCCAACTCCTGATTTGTTTGTGTTTATTTCATTAAGTTAATCCTTTATTCTGCTGCTTTTATACATTGACTCATTGTACCATGAGACCATCTGTTATTACAAAGCAGCATCTGGAATCTATTTCAATAATTAGAAAGTGATTATTTTGCATCTGTCTAAACCCTACTCAATACAAAAGGCCCATACAAAAACACTATTATACTTAGTGGTGCCTTAAAGCTTGAGGCTATGGCACATTGTGGGCAAAGTCACTTAAATGTCACTTTGGCCAGTTTAGGGATGCAATGCAGGTCTTGGCCAATAGGGGGCGAACTATGACTGAGAAAAAAGCATGTTTGGAGTCGAGGTTAAAATGGCTGTTAAGTAAGAGAGACACATTTGGAAGGTGTTACTTGAACACTATAAATTTGACAATTCAGAATGTAGCTGTATTTTAAGTAGGGGTAGAAATATTAGCTGAAGCACTGATAATAGTGAATAGTTTACATTGTGAGAGAGGAAAGTTGAGAGGAGAGAGTGTTGGAACTAACTACTATACTTTTACTTGAAATATACTAATAAGATAGCACTTTTAAAGGTTCTATATTACACAACATTGATTCATGTGAGCTTTAAGCCCTGTTACAATGTAGCTGCGTCATCAAAAACACGCCAGGAGTTGTGTTTTGTTTCACTGACACATGTTTGAGTAATCCTTCATTATTAGTCTGTCTACATCTCCAAAGCTCAAAATGCTCTATTCCACCTTGTGATGTCATGAAGTGGTAATTTTTACCTTTACTTCCATGAAATTGGCAAATCCAGATTTGAAATAATCCAGTGAAGGCATATGGAGTTTAAAAACACACTGGAGCACTTCCTGTATTACAACGTGACATTACAAGGTGGAACATTATTCCATTTGAGAGAAGACCTGAGCCTAAATATGCAGATTTTGAGTGTTAAACATGTGTGAATGAAACAAAACACAACTCCAGGTATGTTTGTGATGAGGAAACATTATAACAGATAATAGATCAGAAAATAGTGTAATATGAGCCCTCTAATACTTCAACCTGAGCCTAAAGGAAAAATAAAAGTCTGTTTTTGCATTTTAGGGAGGCAACTACAAAACAACTGGCTTATGTGTTTTTTTTAAGATGAATGGTCCTCCCGACACAAACCTCCATCCACGCTTGCTAACACAACAAATGGTGTATACAGAGATTTATGGACTATTGTTTATTGAGCTCGTATAGATTTATGTATCTAGGAGGATTCTTTTAAAAGTGGAACTAAGCACCAAGTCCACTTTTTTCAGTAGTAAATTGTGTTTATAGTGTTTTAATAGCATTATGTACTGTTCCTAGCCATTTCTTTTAGCAATTTTAGTACAAACTAGGTAAATTTGCCACTTTCTGGTCAAAAACATCTAAAGCTGACTCTAGTGGCTTCTACAGTTTCAAGTAGTTGGTGACATCATACAAGACTGCTCTGATCATAAACACATGACTGCAGAGGTGGAGTTTGAAATGTGAATATCTATTAGGCCACTCGCACTGTTCTTTTTGACTCCACTGCACAGTTTAGCATATAATTAAACAAGCTGTTTTTATTTCCATTACTCTTTGTGACTCATTTGGCAGAATATTTAGCTTGAATTGCAAAATATATTCCGTTCAACACATCAAACAATATCAACTCAAACAATATTCTGCATTTAAAGTAATAATATTTAAGTTTCTGGGGATGGGTAGTCAACAGCATAAAACTATACAGATAGATCAGAGGTGCTGCATCAGATGAAATAAGAGTCTGTTTCTGGAGATGCAAGTCTGGCAAACTAGGGATGTAACAATAACCGAAATATTGTGATATCGTATTGTCAAAAGTCTCTCAGTAATATTGTGGATCATTACAATATATCGAATCTCAAGTCTCTTCGCTTAAATTCGTTGTTATGGTGCAGCATGAGCTAAAAGAAACAGAGGGAACTACATGGACCATGATCCTTTGCTCTGTTTCAGTCCAGTTTACATGATTAAATAACTTTTTAAGCTCTTTTAAATCATAGCTCTTTAGTTCATGACAGAACTGAAGTCTTGTCAAGATATTTTTAAAGGAAAAAGTAGCATATTCCCAATTTTGTTAACCTCTACAAAATATCGCAATAAATATTGTACCGTGAGATGTGTATCATGAAAATATCGTACTGAGAAATATCGTACTGAGAAATTTGGATATCGGAAACTGTAGTAAATAAACTGTAGTAAATAAACTTGGCTTTATTTTTGTTTGTTTTTTGGCCAAAAAAAGTTACATACTGAGAGCTTAAGTGATTGTAATGTTTTACTGTCTAAATTTCAGATACTGACCAGTTTATTCAAAGTCAAAGTCTACAATTTCTTACCACCTCTGTCTCCTCCTTCTCACCTTTCAGCCATCACTCTTGGCCTTCTTAACCAATCACAAATCTCATTCCTTATTTTGATGGTCTGTCAGTGCGTTACAACTGGCCTCCATTAAACCAGATTGAGAGGTGTCAAGATCTCACCCAGTCCTCAATGCCCCCAATGTCTTCTACTCCCAAAGCCAGACACGTATAAGGCGACGGAGTTAAGTGTCATAATTTCACTATTTTCACAGGCATAAATGCAGAGACGTAGGGGTCAAAGGTCACCGGCATAAAACTTCCCTGTTTGGGGGTCAAAGCGTCTGGGTTGGAAGGGTTGACACAGAGGAAACAAGGCGGCGATTCATGAAAGAGGAAAGTTACGACAAAAGACACATGAGCCTGTTTCCTGCTCCGTGACCAACAGAAAAATAATTGTAAAACAGATTGACAAAGAACGCATAAGGAAGAATAGTTCAGAGGATCCGATTTGCAATAGGAGACCTTAAAGACCTTTTATATGGTAAGCTTCAAATACAATCGAATACTCTGTGGTATTGGTAGAGAAATTAGCTCAAAGACTGGGGGTTAAAGCCTTATTTGTGCTTTTTAAGGGAGGATTGGTACCAAATATCCATATAATGACAGGTATTGAAAAATAGTGATTCTCATGCAAATTTTTCCAGAAAAAAAGCTTTTTTTTTATTTTTTATTTTTATAAAAGTTTGGTTGACTTTGGAAATACATTGTCTGTATTTTAGTTTATCTGCTAAATTTTACAGTAAAAACATTTTACTGCATTTTAATACAAAAATAATAGGTATCAGATTAATATAACAATACTTACCATAGTATTACTTGGTATTATATCAAAACAAGTTGTCCACCATCTTGTGAAAGCTCTTATTAATTGTGTCAAGACGTAAAATGTAAACATACTTCTGCAAATGTACACTTTAACTTGAAAGGCATTGGGCAACTGTTCTGGTGGAGTGTCTGTCACATGCCTTTCTCAATGATGTTGAAATTACTTTGTCTGGAATGTTTCACAGCAAGGCATTAAACCTTTCTATTTTCCTGGAGATCAAACCAAGACAAGTTATAGGTCAAATTTGTGGAGACCCTGCTCATAGTCAGAATGTCTGTTTTTCTTGGTATTTGAGCTATAAAACCACCTGTAATGTGTAATATATAAGTTAGAACTGTTAAATATCATACTGTGGAATATTCCAGGCAGAACAATGGCATAATTATAGAAACATGCAGGTGACGGACCCCAAACTAAAAAGTTATATAGTGCTTTTCTGGACACTTAAAGACGCTTTACAGAGCATTGTTCATTCACTCCACTCTTGGTGGTGGTAAGCTGCCCTGGGACAGACTGACAGAAGCGAGGCTGCCAATCTGCGCCCATCTGACCCCTCTGCACACACACACACACACACGCACACACACACGCACACACACACACACACACACACACACACACACACATACCACTTTCATACTAGGCAATGTGAGTAAAGTGCCTTACCCAAGGACAAAACAGCAGTTTTTGCCACTGGTGCCCCCCTGTGGCACATGATTTTCCCAGCAGTCTCCCATCCAAATATTAAACAGGCCCGGTCCTGCTGAGCTTCTGAGATGTGAAGGGATCAGTCTTTGACAAGCCGGTATGGCCACAAATTATGCCAATTGACAGAAGAAAATAAACTAACTAACTAACTTCTAAGATAAGGCTGGCTTCACTTTCTCACCAGAACAGAAACTTACTTATTCGCAGTAAAGGCACATTTGGTTGCCGCTTGAACAAAGACATTTTCCACCTTTCTATCATCTTGACATCTGCCTTCACACTTTGATTAAGTTCCTGTCCATTCTTTGAGGGATGCAGTAATTGTTAAGAGTCTATAGGGAACCCTTAAATACAACTCCAGTGTGAGTGAAATCACAGCCAAAACCCAAAGTCTGGCAGACACATTTGTGAACACAGCCAGGACCTTCACTGTGGAATTACTGGTACTTGTTTAGTCATTAGCAGAAGCAGCAAAAGCATGTTTAAGTAGTTTAGATTAGATTACCACCACCCACACGTGCGCAGTTATAATGTAATAATGGTACTTCCCCATTTGGGATTTTTAAAACTGACAAATAATTATGAAATCATGTAGATATACTGCAATTGTAATTTCTCTTGTCAAAATGCATTACCTCATAAAACTATTGCTTTATAATAGGACTACTTACTTACACTGAAAAAATGGTCCGAGAGGGGTTGCTCAAATTGCAAAAACAAATTTGACAACAATAACATCACTTTTTTACGTTTCTCTGTCAAGCATGTTTAAATCTTACAAACATCGCTTGATTGTGGCCGATGTGAGACCTGCATGTTTTAATCAGGTTGAGGAAGCATGACTTTATTATAATTTCTGGTGAGGCTCCTCCCTCTGGAATTCTCCTCCCCAAAACTTTTGGAGGGAAAATTCAAATGTAACAGGACACAGGACAGTTAGATGAGCAGAGGACACACAGTGTGGAGCAGGAGGATTATGAGAGCTGATCTGGAGGTAAGACTTTTCAGAGATTTTATTATGTGCTTCTCCGGCCTACAATGTCATCATTGTTAAAACATGTTTGTGTTGTTTTATTTGAAATTAGAGTTAATGTAAGGACAGCTTGAAACAAATTGTTTTTGACTGTCCATCTACAAGAGTGTGACAGTTGTACTAAGATTTGAATGTGTTGCTTCCAGAGTCGTCTACAAAGAGTGACATCCAGAGCTCTGCTGGAGCTATGGGGAAGTTCATGAATGTTATAGTTGATGTTTCAGAAAAAAGGAAGATGTTTGAGAACCAACAAAACACAGACCACAGATGAACAAAGTAAGTAAACAAACAAAATTATTTTAAAATTTTTCAAAATGAACTTCCTATTGAAACTGTTATCGTACTTGTACAAGGTGATGTGGCATTAGGAGGACTTTATACCAGATGCCCTCCCTGTTACTGTGTTTAGAGGAAGAAAAGCAGCACATGGTGAGTTTTGTTTCTGCAGATACAGTTCTAATGTTCTTGTAATTCTGTTCTGGTCCATTATTGTAGTAATAATTGCTATAAGTGTATTTAAACATGTACAACAGAGTAGATCATCAGAATGTGATCATCATGTGTTATTCTGTGTCCACAGGCAGAGACCAGAGCTTCTTCACTGGAATAAATCTTCTCACTGTCCAGCTCCAAACTGTGTATCTCTGTCCCTGTGCTCTCTTTGTGTTTGATTCTGTTTAAGACAATACAGAACTGTGGAAAACTAAAGACTGTTTTTGTATTATTTTACAGAATTAGATCAATTAAATTAAATTATACATACTTATACATTTCATGATAAGGTAACATAAGATAAATATGCATATTCAGCATGATTTGTTCAAATTTCATCAACATGAAAAAGTGATGTTCATGTTCCGAGAAAAATATGTGTAGAGGGGTTCGAAAAAAGTTTCAAAGCCTAAACATAATTTTATTGCGTGCAACCGCTTTCCATAACTTTTTTACGCAAATCCAGCAACCTTTTTTTTTCAGTAGGACCAACTTTGACGTGAATGTAAGTAGTTCTTAATATAAGTAGTTCTTAATATAGTAAAATAGTAATATCTCCATGGAAACAAGCAGATGGCGGACCTTCCACCAGAAAAGTTACATCTTTATTGGTGGACCAAGGACCAAACTGTACATGTGCATTTTTAAAATTTCAATCTATAAATATTGCTTTATTAACATAAAATCTTTCAAAATGCAACACCATCTATGCAACATATCATCACAAAAATAATAAAAACATATTTACTGACTGTAAAAAATGGTTCATACAAAAATGTCGAAGCAATAAGTAAAAAATCATTTGAAAATACTCCTTTTATACCAGAATAGTTTTGACTCTTTGAGCATGGCACATTAAAATAACAGACTTCACGCTGAAACAATTATGGGGATAAGATGGTGTATGTTTTAACAGCTGTGAAGAGAGAGTGAGTGAGGAAGAAAGAGAGAAACAGAGAGAGAGGGATGGAGAGAGAGCAGATTTGAGTGACAGGACGAGACAGGCCCATCACACCGAATAGCGTGGCAGAAATAGGAGCTATTCAAAGTCAGGTAAGTCTAAAATGAATGGTTTGAAATTATACAGACACTAACATATAGGCCTGCAGGACAGATGAAACAAAAAGTTGCCAAGTTTTAGGATCACCTTGACAATGTGACTTACTATCATTTTCTAAAATAACAGTTTCTAAATATTACTTTCCCCAAATAGTAAAAATATATAGTTCTTAAATACCATAACCAGAGCAAGTCACCACTAAAGAATGTCGAATTTGATATAGTGAAAATCTGCCTGATCCACGCAGGTTCTCCTTGTATATTTTACACAGAAGATCAGTCTGGTTCACTGTTGGCTAGACCCCAAATTTTGACATGGCAACGGCTATCAATGAGTTTTTGAAAAGTACCAAATCTAAGCTTTCTATTATGGTTTGATAAACTTTTCAGAGTTTTATCAAAGTTATCAATATTTTAGACACAATCCAAACTCAGAGAGGCCATGCTCATTGATCCTCTATCATTTAGAACTAAATCAAACTTATCTTAGCTCAGATTTTTATATTTTTTTCGTCCCCTGCATTATTTTCCTTTCACTTGTACATGTAACCTCCTGAGACCTGGCCCATTCATTTGTGTCCTTTATAGTGGACATTGAGTTAACCAGTCTATCTTTTAAATGTTTTGAGGTACACTCTTAATGGGGGGGACTAGGTTCCTCTGCCTAAATAGGGCTGAGGGAATATAGAGTAAAAAGAAAAAAAATGAATAGATGTTAGTTTGTGGCTGGATATAGATTAAAAATTTAAAAATTTAAATAAAATAAATTAAAAGGGAGGCTTAAAAATTTTTGAGGGGACTGTAGAAGCTTGTCAGAGATGTTGGTCATAAAAAAGTTAAAAGTTGTTTCTGTTAGGTTGTTAACTTCACATGGATTTAATATCAAAATGTCCCCAGCGTCGGTTACAAAGGACAAATTACAAAATGATGAATAAAAATAAAATTAACAAAATCTAAATGTTAAAGTGTTCATTTACATCCAAATAGAGAGAAAATCACTATATATATATATATATATATATATATATATATATATATATATATATATATATGTTGCAATACACTTTTTTTCTTTGGGTCCCAGGAGGGTAAGCAGCTGTATTTGTTTTGATAAGATCCATCAGGCATGCCCCTGATTGGCTAAAGCACCTGTCAATCACGTCTTTTTAAAGGTGGGGAGAAAAAACTGGTGTCTGTACGAATATTTGTGAGGTATTGGAAAAGTGTGTATTCTTGGCTGGTTACAAGCAAGTGAAATGCTGTTATTATTGCAAGAAATCAAATTCAAATGTATGATGTTCGTCATGACCAAACTTTTTTTATTAATCTTTTTTCTCCAGTGTGTTTTCATCATATTTTAGAGAGTAATAGATTCGTGAGAGAGCCTCTTGTTTCAGCCGTACCCCGCTGGTGGCAAACTTGTCGCCCACACAACTGGCTGAGAAAAACACCATGAGTTTCTTCACTTTCTGAACCCAAACATCTGCTGCTAATGTGGGTCAGTTTAACCCCAGCCTCCATCTGAAAATGCCACACAAAATGACTCAAGGATAAACGCTAACGGCATGGAGCTAGCGTAGCGTGTGTTGTTTTGCAGCACTTGTATCAACAGGGGGAGATACCCACTGAGCTGTGAAGTATATGAGCCAGGACTCCCATCGGGCCGAAAACAGGACCTGAAAATTGACTTCCTGGTTTGAGGTCAAATAAGGAGAGTTTTTGGCTTATAGATTTATGTACTTTTTTGTCTTGATGAAAGAAAGCCTTAATAAGTTCATATTAATATTTAAAAAACTTGAAATGTATTGTCAATGAATTTTATCCATAAAGAAATTCTAATGGTGAATGATCATATATTTATGTTGCTTTAACAAGACTTGTGTAATAAGTTTTTCTGTAGTTTGCATTTTTTTTTTTCTTTTTAAATTTTCATTTGATGTCTGTCCCAATGCAACCTTACTATCTGGGCAAGAAACTGAAAATTACCTCTGTATCTATCATCTATCAATATTAGTAGTAGTAGTTGCAATAATAATAGCAATAGTAATAGCAGTAGTACCAGTAGTAGTAGTAGTAGCAGGCTTTATTGTTGTAATAGAAGTTGTAGTACTAGTAGTTTTGTACTAGTGGGCTTCAGTGTAGTAGTAAACATTGTGGTAGTAGTAGTAGTAGTAGTAGTAGGCTTTATTGTAGTAGTAGTATTAATAGTAGTAGTAGCAGTAGTAGGGTTTCTTGTAGTAGTAGTAGTAGTAGCAGTATTAGTAGTAGTAGTAGAAGTACTTGTAGCAGTGCTAGTACTAGTAGTAGTAGTAGTAGTAGTAGTAGTAGTAGTAGTAGTAGTAATAGTATTAGTAGTAGTAGTTGTTGTAGCAGTGTTAGTATTAGTAGAAGTAATAGTTGTAACAGGCAAGGCAAGGCAAGGCAAGTTTATTTGTATAGCACAATTCATACACAAAGTAATTCAAAGTGCTTTACAGAATAAGAAATACATTAAAATCATAATAAAAACAAATCAAAACATAAATAATCATGAAGATTAAAATTAAAAAAGAGAGACATAAATTGGAGAGAAGAGTGCAGAATGAAAACCTTTCAGTCATATGCACAGTTAAACAGAAATGTTTTGAGCCTGGATTTAAACAGCGTCACAGAAGAGTCTGTCTCACATGTTCAGGAAGACTGTTCCAGGTTTTAGCTGCATGAACCTGAAACGCTGACTCCCCTTGTTTAGTCCTGACTCTGGGCACCAGCAGGAGGCCGGTCCCTGAGGTCCTCAGAGTGCGAGATGGTTCATATGACACTAACATGTCACAGATGTACTTTGGTGCTCGGCCATGGAGAGACTTGTACACAAGCAGAGCTGCTTTAAAGTCTATTCTCTGAGGCACAGGAAGCCAGTGCAGAGACCTGAGCACAGGTCATACATACAGTGCTAGTATTAGTAGTAGTAGTAGTAGTAGTAGTAGTTGTAGCAGTGTTTGTCTTAGTAGTAGTAGTAGTAGTTGTAGCAGTGTTAGTATTAGTAGAAGTAATAGTTGTAACAGTGCTAGTATTATTAGTAGTAATAGCGGTAGCAGTGTTAGTAGTTGTTGTAGTAGTAGTTTTGTGTAGTAGTGCGCTTTGTGTTGCATTTTTGTATGAAAAGCACTCTATAAATAAAGTTTGATTGATTGATAGTTGTAGTATTAGTAGTAGTAGTTGTTGTAGTTCTAGCAGTGTTAGTAGTTGTACAGTGTAGAAGAGTATAGTAGTAGTATATTGACATCATTAGTCAATATACTCTCATCAGTTTAGTCTTGTATATTTCGTAAAAAGCACTTCACAGATAGTTGACTTGAAGAATGTAGCATCAGTTACAATCTTCGGTCTGATCACAGTTTAAGAGAGAATATTTTAGCTCTACACAAACACCAGGCCTCTACATTATCCCAACAGGAAACTCTAAACCAGACGATAAGATGTAAATGTCACTGTATTTGGTTCAAGTGTCTACAGCTCTGTAAAGACTGTGTTGATGTGGCCAAAGATATTTCTCTTCAAAGTCTGTAGATGCACGGACATGTGTTTTGAATCAAACAAATTCCTCAAAGTGGTCCTCAAACCTGACAATGTGAATAAAGTGGAGTTGGTGTCATGTTATATATCTTCAAAATTCAAACTATCTATGCAGTGTTATATTAATCGAAACTCTACTTAGTTTAAAGGTGCATTGTGTAACTTTTCTAACCAGACCAACTTACCAGTCAGATCTGTGGAGAGACAACCTCGCTCACAGTCACAATGCTTGCTTTTCTAGATATTTTTGAGTTATAAAACTACCTGTAATAGACATTAAACAGCTCTACCTTACATTTATTCATACTGTGGAACATTCCAGGCAGAGCAATGACATATCAATAGAAACAAGCAAGTTACAGACCCCCAGCCAAAAAGTTACATAGTACACCTTTAAGTGCAAATAGTGCAAAAATAATTAAAAATAAATTAAAGCTTGGTTGAATGGAAGGATTCTGTAGTTTGTGCTTGTATGAATATTTTTATTAGGCTGGTGAACAACTAGCCAGGTTGGCGCCACCTAGTGCCTCCGTTCAATTGCATGTCTCTCCAGCAACTAGGTCAGAAATCAGAATAGACTAGACGGTCTGCAA